ATTCATCCAACACAAAATTCCGAAACTGAAACCCTCCCTCAAATCGTTGTCCCATCCATCCAAAAATTGGCGGAATTTCCGCTAAATAATTTCCCTTTTTTTCAAACAAGAAAATTATCAACTTCCTATAAATCCCAAAACCCTACGCTTCAATACACCGCGCCTGCCTGCAACACCAAGTTTGGGTTTTGATTAAATATTAAAGCTTCATTGAAGTTTCGTGAAGAGAAGAGGCCATTGTTGAGAGTCAAAGTGCCTCTTAGCATTCTGGGTTTGCCGTTCCAATCAGGCATCGCTGCCGGCGAATCCAAGGAGCACACTTTAAATCTTTCCACTTTCTTCGAATCTGGGCCGTCCGTCAAGTTCGCTTACCGTCCTAATGACACCTGGAACCCTTTCTCTCTTATCGTCAAGACCGGGACTGGGCCCTTCGGTTCTCCCGTTTCCAGCTCATTGCTTATGAGCGCTGAGTTCAATCTCCTTGCCCGTGGAAACCCTAGCTTTATTCTTCACTTCAAGCCTCAGTTTGGGGATTTTTCAATCAAGAAGTCGCAGTCTTCTGTTTTCGGTAAAGTCTTGAAACCGAAGAACGGCGTCGTTTTGGAAGAGTCGATTGAGGTGGTTGATTCGCCCGTCGTTAATGGTGGCTACACCGGATTCTTCGCGGAGAAGAAGCAATTAGCGACGTTGAAATCGGGAGATATCGCGGGGATTCTGTCCGGCATTGAGTTGACAGCGAGCACGGCGGTACCGTTGAAGGGAAAAACAATGGTGAAATTCCGATGGGGAATGAGGATTCCATCGGAGATGAAGAGCGGAGTCGGTGAATTGGGTTATCCCACGGCTGGGATTTCGGTTAGGAAAGTTCCGTTTTTGATGATGGATAAGATTGGGATTGAACACGTGGAAGGCGTTGATTCGAAGCTGGCTACATCCACAGCCAACAAGACGGATCCTAACAGAAGTGTTAAGATGGAAGACTCTGGGTTTATGGTGAAGATGCAGTTGAGAGCATTGGAAGCTGACAATAAGTCACTGAAGAGAGCTGTGGATGATCTGAGACGAGAAGTCAAGGGCGAGGATTTGAATTGTGGGAAATACAGAGAGACTGAAAGAAATGGGGAAACGGAGAGAAGAATGATGGAGAAGAAATCCATGGAAGGGGATGGGAATGAGGACCCGAACAAGGGACTCAAAGGAGCTACTGCTTGAAAATTACAAGTAAGCGTTTGGTTTGGTTTTGATCTGTTATTGTAATTATTGCATTTGTGTTTGGATTAGTAACTAAACTATAGCAAGTAGAATAAAAAAAGTTGTCTGTGTGAGATGTGTGTTGTCAGTGTGAATGATTGAAATGTAAATTCCTGAAATTGTTTTTGATTCTTCAGAATTCAGTAGAATGTAGTATAAGACTGAGAACACTAGTGTTTGCATAAGAGTTTTAGAGAATTAGGGCTAACAGATCTTTTAGTCTTTTGTTGTCCAAAACAATAAAAAATTTATTTACCATTCAATCAATTTTGTAACTTTATGTAATTCCTCCTTGCACTTCACACCAGCGTTGTTTGACATCAAAATCCTCTGCGAAACACACCCAAAAGTCCAATTCAAAATGCATATTTAATCTTTCATCATTAAACACCAATTGAGCAAGGGCGGTTTTCCCAATATCTCCGGTTCCAACTATGTTGATACCAATGGTTTCTACATGGGTACTTTAAACCAGATAGAACGGGATGAATCCTAAAACTGAATGATGAGGAAAATGTGGAATTAAGAATAGGAGTCATTCTAATCGCCCATCTAAAGGTGGCCCTAATCTCATGGCATATTAGAACGGAACATTGTGGCTTAGACTTCACGCTAAACGTTGAATTTTCAAAATATTTTTCAGAAATTATCTTTAAAGCGAAGATTTTAACAAGATAAAATATACAACATGAATTACACTTAGAATTCCTTTTCGGAATTGCCACCGTGAAAACTACAAAACTTTTGGGTTTCCCCTGCAAGGGCTACCTTACTGGACTCATCTCAAGTAGCTTCTCCGCTTGGTCCGGGAACAATGTTATAAACAAATAAGCACCTGTGCCGTTCATGAGACTATTAAATTAAAACAACAAAAGAAAGTGGAAGATATGAGTCACAATTACTTGGACAAAAGTTTCCTGGCTATTGAATACTTACAGATGAGTACGGTTCCGAGCACGGCCGAAATCTTGCCTTGAATTGTCACCAAACCAGCTTTGCCAGCATCTTGCAACTCTGCTTTACCTATGGAATCGAATGTGCCTGTAAAAACAATAACTATTTCAAGCTGTTGTCCTTGCATACAATCCACAAGCAGGGCCTTTACAAAAGCATGCAGTTGATGTTTAACCTGGTTTTACAGTTTGAAGCCCAGATGTAATACACGCTATATTCTGGAAACCGGCTTGCTCCAATTTATTGGAGGCAGCAGCAGACCTTGACGTCGAAAAAGAAGAATTCCATCAATGGCTTCATCATTAAGGCCGAGATGAAGATAAGGGAATAAGCTCAGACCATTAATCAGTCGAGCATATTCAGTGCAGTAATCGGATCTAGAAAGATCACATTCAGAGGTAAAGTAATAAATTTGCTAACGCATCGAACTTTATCTACTATAACAAATTGTAAGTTCTTCCATACTAACAAGTTCCACGTTATGAATCTGTAATGTTTGGCATAAAAATGATAAGATGATTGATATTATCAGCTCTGAGGAAACATCAAATTAAGCATATAATAAGCTGTTCTGTTGTATTTTGGCCTAAAGAGTCCCAGAAACTTTATAATGTCACTTCTGCTATGATCAATTAAATGAAATACATTAGTCGAATGTCCAAATAGGGTGAAAACTAACCTCAGCCCCTCTTGGCATACAAGTAGCAATTTACTTTCGGGCGAAAACTGACTTTTCACAGATTGTACAAATTCAGGGTTGGGTTTTGTAAATGGCAATCCAAAGAATAAACCTGAGAAATTATTGTGCAGAGTCCTCTTTATTATTGTGCCTGCACAAACAAAACAAATCAAAATGAGTTCAGTCCCTCTACACAGCTATGTACTACTTAGCCGAAAACTTGAGCTGGATTTAGAAGGAATAATGATAGAAGGTCTCACCAGGATCATTGTCTTTGTTTTCAATGAAAAGAGGAACATGATAGCAGGATTTGATATGAGCTCGGTCGAACTGAGATTTATCGCGGACATCAACAACTGTATAACCCTCAACTGCTACAAGTTTTTTTGCTTCTTCAGCATTTACAAAATTCACCTCTGCTCTAATGCTTAGATTTCTTCTCCGTATAGGTGTGCCTGAGATGGTTCTTCCATGGCGGGTCTTTAATTCCAACCAGGTTCTCCTGGAATTGTTGAGAAAAAAAAATCATTTCAATTCATTACTTTCTTTTTAAAAATTTCAGTTTCTACATTTAAAACTACAAAATTCCAACAAAAATGTGCATGCATATTGCAAATTCAACAGCATTGACCAAACTATAGAACTTCATGGTCTTTGTTGTTGTCCATTTTCTCATGAATCCCATGGAGGGTTTCAAACAAAATTTACAGAAAAAATGGAAGATTCTGTAGAATGCATGTAACACTCCAATTCCACATCTGGTTCTATATATATATAAAAACTTAAAATGCACAATTTTAGAGCTCAGGAAATAGCTTTCTAAGTATATTCCTCAGGAAACTTTCCGAACTCAAAACAAAGCACTAAAGCTCAATATAACAAAAGCACCCTATACATAGCACTAAAGCTTAATATAACAATATTTCAGCATTCTGATTTTCTCAGAAACCAAACGCCAAACCCAGATATTAGCTTTCGAAATTAACCAATTTAAACTTATAACTTTCTTCAGGTCTTCACGAATCTGAACAGAAAAGTTTAAAACTTCAAAGAGATGGGCTAGACAGTGACCTTTACCTTGTAGAAGAGAGTGATAAATAACAGGGAGTAAAATTTCCAGCCATTGAAGAATTGAAAGAGCTATCTACTAGCTTCTGTTGCAGCAGTTCCTCTCTCTCTCTCTCTCTCCCCCCCCCCCCTTTTCTCTTTGCAGAGTGGTTAGCTGGAGAGCTTAGAATTGAGGATAGCCACAAGATTAGCCGAAGAAATTTTATAGGGGCAATGAGTTTATGCCACGTGTACTTCAAATCGGATATGCTATTATTTCTCGAGTCTTCGTTTTAGTTATGATTCTTTATGAATGCAATTTATTTATTCAAACATGACTAAACCAAACATGATTAAAATTGTATGGTCACTCTTATTTATTTTTTACAGGAACTCAAAATTTTAATAAATAAATATCTAAAAGTCGATAAAATGAAAAATCACATCTTACTTAGTAAAAATGAACATATTACATCTTAATGAAATAATACGAAAGTGATCATTGATTAAATATTATAATTTTTGAATTAAGCGAGAAAAATTGTATAAAACTTTGATCAATCCTATAATTTATCTTTATAAAAAAGAAAAAAAATATTTTTTTAAAAAAAAATTGAATTTTCATAGGTATTATACAATAATTTAGGAGTGTATGGTTCAAATTTAATAAAAAAATAGACTTAAAAGGAGGAAGAATTGAAAAAAAATAAAGAAAATAAGGACTAAATTGTAAAACAATCAAATTATGTTTCTCAAAATTTTGAATTGATAAAACCTGAGCTCGAATTGAACTCAAAATCTGAAATTAAAATTCAAGTTGACCCAAATGACTTGAAATTAAAATTCTAGTGGTTCCTCACTTCACTTGACCGTCAACCCAAACTGGCGGATAGTTTGCTTTTCTAGGTTTTGCGATTGTATTGGTGTCAAATTTCAACAATCTCACCAATACAATCCCAACTTCATATCCCATCTTGCAAGTAATCAAGTATTCAGATTGACGGGAAACTCTGAAATTCAAAGAGAAACGGCGGCTGCTCATTTGTCCAGACACAAACAAAAACTATCACAACAGCATTAATCAAGCATCCTGGAATCAATAGGTTCGGAAATTGTCATCTATACCATGGTTTTGATAAATAACAACGCATTTTTATTCAAATCAACATCCCTCTTTCTAAAAGTGAAACGGCCAAAAAGGGAAACCGAGTCCGAGGATATGACTATATCTTCAAAAACAAAGACGTCCAGTTCATCAAACAGGATCGATTATCTCAAACTTAGTTGGAAATGCTTTCCCTACAATGAAGTGCAAGATTTATGACTCAACAGGTCTTTTCTTGGTGGTGTATGGGTAATACTCCTTGCCTGTGTCCAGTCTTGTAGTCTGACCTCCAGCATCAATCACTGCAGATGTAAATGCCAGTGCCGATCCAGCAGAAATAGCCGTTGAGATGCTTCTCCCTGCAAATGGGACACCATGTAAATACATTTGTTGAACGTTACATGTGATAAAAACTAACATGGTTTAACCTAGATCCAGAAACTGAGTCCAAACTCAATAACCCACATAAGACATTGATAGTTCATTTCACTCACCTTAAAAGCACAAAAACATATGGATTTCCACTATCCAAACCGATGCTTGTACGCATCCCTCTAACTCAAAAGACAAAAAACTCAGACCCCTTCACCTACTCTTCACTCAAGCATTTTATGACAATGTATTTCAGCTCAAAATAGTGAAGTCTTACTACACTGTACAAACAGTTTATGATACAGAAGTAAAAGACAGCAACAAAGAAACTATAGTAATGCATGTGAAAAACCTCCAAAATGAAAGGAAATTAGGAGAAATCAGAAAGTAATGACTTTTGATTTTCACACGAGGCGGAACTCCAACCACTTCAGGTGAGTAAACATATTTAAGGAATATCAACAAAAACAAAAAGAATTCAAAGCAATATTGGATTATATAACCTTATCACCATTCTTTATAAGGTGGAGCAGATCCTAAGAAACATCACAAGCTTTGAAATCATGAAGAGGTAAAGTTTTCTAATAGAATCACCTCCATGTTACTGAAGCACAAAAATTAATATATGATCTGAACTCAGTTTACCAGGCACATTCAGAGGTCTGAGGTAAAAAAATTCAGTAACTCATAAATTTTTAGTTAAGCTAATATTTTAGATAAAACATACAAGCTATGCCAATTATCACCATATATTGCTGTAAAAAATAATAAACTCAGATAGCAGGTCCTTAGATGCACAGAATAATTATCCCTCCGAATAAAATTTATACCTTTGAAACCGAGAATGGAAGCCCCAGCAACAAAACCACCAACAGCCCCATTGACAAAGTCTCTCTTCATCCTATAATTCTGCAACAGCTGCTCAACACCAATATAGACTCCCCCAATTGCAGCAAATGTCATTCCATAATTTCCCATCATCTTTAGTGTTCTTACAAGCCCTGGTATGGCAACACTTCTCTCAACACGAGGCACATCATACCATGTAGCAACAACAGTCCCCCAGATAGTTCCAGCAACAAAACCAGTAGTTGCACCCTTGATTGTTTTCATTGTTGGAGTGTCATCATCCTCTAAATACCTAAGCTCTGAAGGGTCTACAGCCATCTTACTGAATAACAACCAATATCATAAAATAAATAATTAAATAACAAAGACACGTATATATACAAAATCATATATGTAAAGGGAAAGTAAATGACCAAATTAAAATAAATTTGGAGAGAATTTGGGATGAGGTTAGGCTACATAAAGGAAGGTAGTTTTCTCCATGCATAATTCCCATCCCACTCGCAGAGATTCAAGCTAGAGAATCTCAGACTTCTAGGTTTAATTGTCAAATTTTAACGTTCGGTATCCTTACCGGGACAGAGCAACGGAAAACACATCATCTAAAGCAAATTAGAATACAAAATGGGCCATCAATAATACCGGAAAACAAAATAAATTCAATGCACGAAATCAACACAATCAGGTCATATGTTCATAAGAATATATAGAAAAACCCTTACAACTTGGACAAAACACATCAGTGATTTTTCAATTTAATTTAAAAAAAAGGAATTTCCAGAAGAAACTGAAACTATTGCTCAGGTGCGAACCAACAATGCCCAAGTACCAAATAAAAAAAAGGTAACAATAATTTTCTTAATAAGAAAAATAATTTTTAAAATGATAACTTAATTATCGCTTAAATCCCAACACAATATATAACCGCGCATACTAAAAGAAAAGGAAAAAGGAAACAAAGGAATTAGAATGAAAAGAGAACCCTAGATTCTGAAGCTGATTTAAATACATATTCCAATAAATTGGAAACAATAACCTAAAGGAATAAATAGAGCTAATTCAGAAAAGAAAACAAAGAGAAAATTACCTTGTTGATGAAATTGGAAAAGAAGAGAGAGCGTGAGAGAGTTTAGCTCAATTGCTTCCGATAAATTCATTTCCTCCATTGTGATGCACTATTAAACCTGTTACCGGCCAGCCCACCTCGAATAAGGCCTTTTTACCTAAATAATGCTATCTAAAACATTATTTATCTAATTTCCCCTCAAAGTCAATTAACTATCAAAATTACACTTTTTTTTACTAGGTTTTTTTAATATGCACATGATGAGAGTAAATTGTTTATATGATATGCCTATTGTATTATATTAATTTATATTAAATTTGATATATTTTAATAAATAAAATATTTATAAATTAAAAAAAATAAAATATTATAAATTTTAGTTTGAAGATAATTAAAATGTATTACAAACTTAATAATCTTGAGTAAAAATTAAAACATTTAGATAATTATAAAATTTAGTTCAAAAGATTAATTAAATTTAATTTATGTTTACATTAAATGAGAAGATTTCATGGTGTGCTATATTCTAAAAGGTGGTCGTGAATCAGTTTAGTTTGGAAGTAGAATGAGATTAGGCTTTTGATTTTATGGTAGTTGTGATTGATTTTTTTGTTGCTGTGATTATCGATTTTATTAAAATATGTTTAATAGATAAAGTAATATTTAATGTACAAATTTAAATTACATACAATTTTATTTTGATCAATTTTAAATTCTATATCATTGATTTTTAATTTAAGAGAATGTTTAAATTTTATAAAAATTTCAATTCAATATATAAACTAAAATTTTAAAACTGGATATTATTAGATTTTTAATTTAAACAATAAGATTAAATTTTATAAAATGTTTCATATCAGTATTTTAAAAAATAGGCATATTATTAAAACTAATCCTGATGTTTATTAAATACTTATTTTAATCCTTATTACCTTTAGTATTTTAATCCCGATATTTTATTTTAGGGAAAAGAGATCCATTTACGGATGAAAATTGTTAGTCAACACACGATTAATGCTATAAAATAAAGGTTTTTTTTATCCAAAATAAAATATTGAAGGCTAAAATACTACATAAAAAAAGAATAAGGGTCAAAATAACTATTCTATCCAATGTTAGGAGCTTTTCCACTCTATAATACAATATTAAGAGTTAAAATGTTTTAAAATATTAAGAGTTAAAATGTTTTGAAAAGAAAATATCATTGATAGGTTTGTGGACCTTGTGGAGCTCATAATTGAAGTCGTAGGGTCGAGTGGGAGTTTAATTGGGTTGGAATCAGGCCAAAAAGGTTATAAAAAGGGTATTTTTAAATTGAGGTTAAATGAGGAAGGACTAAATATGTAATTATCCCTTTAGATATTTTAAAAGGCAAGTCTTTCATTTTTGGATGATGATGTATGCGAGCAAGAAATTAAAAAAATGTGAGTATTTCATTTATGAATGATGATGTAAATGTGATCATTTCATTTGTGGATGATGATGTATTCAGACAAGAAATTAGAAAAAATGTGAGTATTTTATTTATGGAGAAAAAGGTGAATCTTTCATTTATGAATGATGTTGTATGTAGGCAAGAAATTAAAAAAATATGAGCCTCTCATTTTCTTCACCTTTCTTGTCATCTTCTCATTTCTAAAGACTCTCTCTTCCTCCATTATGGTTTTGAGCAAATGTGAAAGCTTGATATAATCACATCCTTCTATCAATTTTGCTAAGTGAGAGAAGTGAGAGAAAGTTCTAAGGTTAAGGGAAAAGAGAAGGTAGTGCTTGGTTAAGATTGAGGTTGATTCTCTAGCATTTAGTAGTAAGGTAACACACTTCTAACATCTCTATACCACTTGTAGATTAACATGTGTATTGTTGTTGCTTGTATCTGTGTATGAAGCATTTGGGGTGCATTTGGGTTATAATATAAAAATGGGTGTTTGATGAAATCCATGCATAAAGCAAAAACCTTTTATGATCCTTTGAACCCACATAAGCTTTAAATAACGTTTGAGGATATTGGGAAGATCTTAGAAGAGATTTGAAGTGTTACACTCGTGAGAAACTGGGTAATCCATGCTTAGGGTATCAGTACTATAGGAACAATACTTGTGTTATTCGTCTGTTAGGATGAAAATAAAAGGGTTTTGTATAGAAGTATCGATACCTGGTTCTTGGGGTATCGATATTGTTCATAGGGTATCGATACTCGGGGTTCAGTGTCGATACTATGAAAACTTTACAAATTCTAGTATACCTAAATTGTACTGATACTCGGGACAATATTGATACTACAGTGAGGCAAGTACGGATACTATGTGGCAGAGTATTGGTACTGACATGATAATAATGGTTGTAAACCCTATTTCCTCAAGTGATTCAGATAATGGTTAGAATCAAAGAGAAACAATAATAAAAGCTTGCATGTGAGAACATTAACAATTGTTTGATAAGATCTTAATGAGGTAAGATTCCATAAGACTTATACCTTGTTTGATACTCGGGAAACAACGATGACACCCTAGTTACTTTGTATGACGATTGTCTGGTAGAGTAAAAGATTATCCTGATATATCCAATCTAGTGCATGTGTACTTATAACGCTAGTTGAATGCTGTGCTGGCACTATGTGACCCATTCATGTTTCGAGTACTCTAGAAGAGTGGACTAACCTTACAAGGTGTCAATGCTATATGACTTAGACCTAGCCTAGGGTACTTGTGAGATGTTGATGCTATGTGACTCAGATCTCGTTTAAGGTACCTTTAGTGAGCAAATAGAGGTGTTAGTTTCGTGATGCTATTGTGACCCTGAACTACACCATGGTGCTTGCTTTTGTTGTTGTGGGTTAAATGTACTCTTATATTCATAACTATAACTGTAGCATGCCCATTTATTGGATGCATATAGAATAGTTATGTTATTTGTGTGGCATTGAGATTGTGAGCTCAATGTTCAAAATATGTTTATGTGCACAGTTAATATATTGAGCCGTTCGAGGAATACCGTCCCAATAGAATTTTCAGCATTCCTCATAGGGTATTGTTTGTTTGCTTGTAGTGGGTACATGCATTCAAATAATCCTAATTGTTGTATTCGAGTTTGTAAACTCTGAGATTTTATTGTTTTGATTTAAACTATGTGTCATGGAATTCTGGTTTATAAAAGTATTTTATGACTATTATTAATACTTTTCATAAATATATGATGTTTTTAATGAAAAAAATGGTTAACCACTTTGGTGTTTTTTTGTGACATTTGAATCCTCTAGACTCCGGATCGGGTCGGATAGGGTGTTACAAGAATGAAAACTAAAATGACCATTTTAATATATATTGAGGTCTAATTTTGATATTATGCCGAAAAAATTATAATACAAATCTATTTTAGAAAATAGAAATTAACTTTTTAAATTTTCTTATTATTTAAACAAAATATCATTTTTTTATAACATTTCCGACTAATATCGCTCTGTAATGTGTTATACAAAATAGTATCCAAAGTCCTGGCACTATGTTTGAAGAATCTCATGCCTCATTGTATTTCCCCTAATCGATGAGCGTTTGTTTCGGGTCCCCAGATATTCAATAATGTGTTGTTTGCCCACGAGTTGTTTCACTTCTTTCAGCCTACTCCGTCGAGTGCCTCTCGAGGTTTGGTAGTCAAGTCGGATATGGAGAAAGCCTATGATCATGTTGAATGAATAATCTTTCGACCAATAATGCTACGTTTGGGTTTTGCTCCGAGTTGGGTGGAATTGATTATGTTCTATGCCTCCAAGGTTTCTTACCCAATCCGGGTCACTGGTTCACTCTCTGATCGTTTTAGTCTGGAAAAAGGTTTACAGCAGGGAGACACACTAACATTTCCTCTTCCTGTTCTATGTACAAGGGTTGTCTTCATTGCTATATTTCAAACAGTGCCAGCAGCGCCTTTGTGGTCTCCGAATCTGTCGTACTACTCATTCAATTTCGCATTTATTCTATAGCAACGATAGTATCCTATCTATCCGACCTTCATAACTTGATGCTTACCACCATAGGTATTTTCTCCGTTAATATGTATTAGTGTCTGGGCAAAATATCAACTTGTCCAAATCCAGTTTGTATTTTAGTCCCCCACATGCCTTGACTTGGGACAACACATTATTGGCGATGTCTCCATTGGTATTCGTATCCTTACCGTCTCCATTGCTCCGGTTGTTGACGATGTCTTCATCTGGGGTGGCCATTCGTCGGGTGTGTATTCGACAAGGTCGGGATATCATTATCTTATGAGACGTCCCAGGTTGCCACCATGGTTTTATACGTTGTTTGTGTTGGGACTGTCGGCGCACCCCATAGCGCAACAGAAACAAAACTCGACGGTCTCACCAGCGATTCAAGTACGTAAAACTGAAATCTGGAGGAAAGAATGTGAATACTTACAATGGGTTCCTTGAAAAACAACAAAGACGACAACGAGAAATGGTGATCACGAACGATTCGAATCATAAGCCTCCACGAAAACATGTCTCGGCCTCTACTTAGTTCACCCGATCGAGAGCAAAACTTTTCTTTTCCAAAAATCGGTTTTGAGTAAAACGGCTGAAGTAAAACGGCTGCTAGACCTTACTTCCTTTAAATATATCAATTACCCTAACATCTTAGGGTTTTTAAAGTTATTTCGAATTAATAAATAAAACATTATTTAATTAATTCAAATTAAATATACATTAAAGACTTATAATCTGAATTATAATCTTTAATGTTTATTTAAAAACTTATTTAATTATTCTGAATTATATATCAATTAAAAGAGTTGTAATCTAAATTACATTCTTTTAATGCTTACTTACTATATTCGGGATAATTAAAATCATATGTATATCAAATATACATATTTTAAATCTAGATATATTTTAGTAACATACAACAAATTTTAAATCTTTGCTCATTCAATCCTAGGGTGTGACCCTGTAGGTTATTGTAACGTTAGTAGTAATCATTAGAATAATTCTATTATTACATACAATGAGTGACATCTAGCAATATATCATTGTCACCTAAGTTACAAGAAATTATGATTCGACATATCATCTTCGTGATTAACTCTGTTATGTTTTACATCCTTTTGTCCTTT